AGAGGGCATGCCCCAGTCGCGGAGGTTGATTTGGAGGGGCCAGGAAGCCCCCCCCCCCCAGCCCTTCCCATGACTCAACAGGAGAACGAGATAGTCCAGGCATTGCCCCTCTCTTACTAATGCAAACACTGAGATCCTGAGTAAGGCAATGACTTGCCCGGGGTCACACTGAAAAGCGGAGACAGGCTGGAGACGGAAACTGAGGGCCCTTTGTTCTATGTCGGGCTCTGCCCCAGACCCGATTATTCTGTCATGCTGCTGGAGGCTGGGGTCCCCGAGTCTTCTTCTCCCCCTTCCTGAATCTACACCTCCCCGCTGCGGCTGGAACCTTAAGGCTCCAGCCCTACCCCCTCCAGTATCCCCCAAAGACTCCCACCCATTCACTCGCTCATGCAGTCATTCCACAAGCAATTAGTAAGTGGCTCCAAGGTGCCCTCTCTCCACGGGCACTCACAGAGTTCTCAGTGTGGTCTGGGAGTCCGGGTCAGACCACAGCCTTTTCGGGGTGGGGCTGTGACTGGGGGGCTGAGAGGTCCAGAGAAAGCCCCTGGACCAACATGGGGCAGGGGAACAGAAGAAAGGCAGGGTGAAGGAGGGGACATTGATCTGGATCTTGAGGTTCAGTAAGGAGCTTTCAGGCAGCAAAGGCGGAAGGGATATTCCAGGCTTGAAGAAAAGAGCATGTGCAAAGACACTGGGGTACACTGAATTGTAACTTAAACAATGGTTATGTGAGTTCCACCTCAGCGAAAACAAATACATACGATTTGTAAGAAGGCGGTGTGCATGCAGGCGTCCAGCACCGTGAGGCTGGGGGGCCGGCGGGGGGGGGCAGGGGGACAGCCACAGGAGGGGCCAGAGGGGCGTGACACGCCACAAAGGGCCTACCTTTGCATTGCCTGGGGGATTCAGCTGTGGTCTGGCCTGTGCTGTATCTGGCGGGGAGCCCACAAGCATTCTTGGCGTGAAGAGCCGAGAGCGCCTGAGCCAGGAAGAAAGACCGAGAAGAGCTGTGAGAGGGAAGGATGTGGTGATCTGGAGTCACGCAGACTCTGGTTTGAATCCAACTCTGCTTCCAACACTGATCTCGGCAAATCACTTCACCTCTCTGAGCCTCGACTTCCCCATCTGTAACAGGGACTGGCAGGTGGCAGGACGGCTCTCGTGGAGTTGCTGTGGGGAACCCTCGGTGTGGGCGCCCCAGAGCTTGCTGGGGCATCAACAGAGGGGGGGTTGGGATTATCAGTGCTGCTGTGGGTTCGGGCCAGCTGCCCTCTCCACCTGAGACCGGAGGCAGGGCGGGATGTGAGTCCCTGCTGCGGTCACCAGGATGGGCCTAGGTCTGTTGCCAGGACGCCCGCCCCCTGCCAGTCCTGCCATGGCCGCTTCCTCTTTCCCAGGCCAGTTCCCCCTTGCCTGGTGACGTGGGCCTTGTGTGGGTGGTGGGGAGGGGACGCTGGAGACGTTAAAGGTCCTGGGCTGGCGGGGAGGAGGCCAGACCCGGTGGGGACGAGACCCGGGGCCCGCGATGCAAATGGTCCCGGTGCTGCTGCTCCTGTCTGGTAAGAGGCTGCGGGAAGGGGGCTGGGGATAGAGGGTGAAGGAGGTGGCCTCCGCGGGGGGTGGGGGGCACCCATCCCTGGAGGGCTGAGAGTCCAGGTTCTCTTAAAACTGCCGACCCAGACTTGGGTTCGAGTAACAGGAACTCGGGTGCAGGACAGACATGGGGACAGGCAGTGGGGGGTGTGTAGCCTCCAGGGAGGAGCTCCACGTGGATGGGGCCTGACCTTTGAAGATCCTGAGGGTCAAACCACATGGACAGGGTGAAGGCACCTAAATGAGGCCCAGCTGCCTTAGCAATGAGTGAGCTCCCCATCTTGAGAGAAAAGCAAGCAGAGCTGAATACCCACCTACACTGAGCTTCTGGGCAGGAAGGTGAGGCAAGCTTCCCCACAGGGAAGATGGGGAGGGGCTGGGGACAGGCATGCAAAGAAGACTTCACAAAAGTGGGCTTTGAAGGCTGAATAGGAGTTCTCTCGGTGGGCAGGGCGGAGATGATGTGCCCAGTCTCTGACCTACATTACTCCCTCTAATCCTCACAAGACCCCTCGGGGTGGAACTAGGAAACTGAGACCCTGAGAGGTTAGGTAGCTTTCTCCAGCTCACACAGGATCGCATCGCAGGCAGCCTGGCCTCGGGCGGGAGGGGGCAAGAGGTCGGATCTGGGGCTGCAGAGGTTAGCAGGGGCCTGGGTGGAAAGGCGGCGGGTCAGACAGGAAAGAAATGAACGCCAGACCCCCCCCCCCGCCGGGTGTGGGGGTCCCGGAGCGGAGCTGTGAGGCCTCATTTCCTGAGGTGCGGGAATCAGGCCGGCGGAGGCCAACAGCAGGAAGGGCCCGGCCGCGTGGCCTTGGCAGGCAAGCATCTTCCTGGATGCCCGCTACCGCTGCGAGGGGGTCCTCATCTCCCAAGAGTGGGTGCTCGCAGGAGCCAGCTGCTTTGGCAGGTGGGTGCAGGGCCCGGGAGGGTGGTGGAGGGGGGCTCCAGAGGGGAGGCCCCTCAGGCTCACTACCTCCTGATCTCTACAGCGGGCCTCGGTCCCAGTTCAGAGTGACCCTGGGCCCAGACCGCCTGGTGCTGGACAGTTGCAAGAGCGTTTCCCGTGTAGAGGAGCTGCTCCTGTCCCCAGGAGGGAGTGAGGGCTCTGCGTCCGGTGGCCTGGCCCTGGCTCGACTGGCAAGGCCACCACCTCTCAGCAGCGCCGTGCAGCCGGTCCCTCTGGCCACCCGGCCCCAACCTTTCCTCCCACGGCTGCTCTGCTGGGCCCAAGGGTTTGAGGCTGATGTCGGTAGGATGGAATAGGTGCCTGGGACGGTTGAGGGCAGCAGGGGGCGCTGGACTGGGCGAGGCAGACAGCCAAGGTGGAGATTGGGGCACCTGCGGGGGCACTAATCCCCACAGTCCCCGAGCCCGGAGAACAGCCTGGCTCTGGCCAGCCAATGGTCAGCACCAAAGATGCCAGCATGCAGGGGAGAGGGTGAGCAGGGACGCTCCACTATGCCTGAGTCAGCTCCCAGCCCCAAAGGCTGGCCCTGGGCACGCTCCTGGCCTCCTCCCCAGGCTTAAAGCTTCCCTGGGAGCACCGTGAGAATGCAGGGAAGGATGGAGCCATAGCAGAGGGAGGTGGAGGTGAGGAGCGTCAGGGAGGACTGGAAGCTCAGGACTGGGTTCAGGGCAGGGAGACTTGGGGCAGGGAGGGAAACTCTTCGGTGTGCCAACCGGCAGGGCAGGGCTGGTGCAAACCTGCCGGATATCAGTCCTGGCTGAGGGTCCGCCCATCGCAGCCCTCCCCCACCCTCCCCCGCCCCCAGCAGATCCCTACATCCCACCCCGAGAGCTGCACAGTGTCCCGCTGAGACCACTGCGTATCCACACCTGCAAAGATGCCTTTCGCCTCCACCCTGACTGTCCTGACCCAGAGGCCAGCCTGCCTGAGGGCTCCCAGTGCACCAAGCCCCCCACCGGCCCCTCTGAACTGGAGGTAAGGATTCGAGCTGGGCCCAAGCAGGCCCCGAGATGTGCCCTCCCCTACAGCCCCTCCTAATGCCTCCAGACTCGGTAGAGCCAGGCTGGCCATCCTCCCAGGGTCTCCTATTCCATAACACCCAGGCAAGCAGCTAATGTGCACCCCTGATTAGGGGCTTCCCACCCCCTGGGGAGACTTCCCCTTTAGGTCCTGCTTGAATGTGGGGCAGCCTTTGACATAGCCAGGTTTTGAACCGCTGGACAGCCCCTGGTTATCTGACAAAACACAAGCGTTTTGTTAAAAACTGACTTTTGTGTAACACTGAGCCTCAAGAGCCACAAGGAGGAAAGGGTCAGGCAAGAGTGGTAGAATTTGTGGGAGAAAGCATTTTAACTGGCAAGAGGGTGTGAGCGATGGGGGGAGGGGGGATGACCAAGTCCACCCGAGCTCTGAGCTCTGTGTGTTGCACTGGGGCCCCCAACCATCTGGCCTCCCCAGCATCTCCTGTCAGAGGTGGGAACCCTGGCTGCCTCCCCCCGCCCCCTCCCCTAATCAGGTATCTCTGCTCGCCTCTCAGGGAGTGGTCAGTGGGTCCCTGCTGGCTTTGACCCCTCCTTCCCTCTCCCGCACAGGTGTCTGATGGGAGCCCCCTGGTCTGCTTCCAAGCTAACAGCTGGCTGCTATAGGGGGTGATCACCTGGGGTCCCTGCTGGGGGCCTGGCCTCCCAGAAGTCTACAGGCCTGTGCATCCCTTCATTTCCTGGATCAGAGATAAGGTCTCTAATGCCACTTTTCCCACCCTGGCCAAGAAGCGTCCTTGGGCCCGGCCTGGGACCAGACAGAGGAGGCAGTGAGGATCTTTAGCCTGTGAAGTCCTGGGTTTGAACCCTGATCCGGCTACTTACCTGCCTCTGTGACTGTTCCCAGCAAACTCCCCTCTCTGGATCTGCTTCCTCTTTGAGTAATTGAGATGTATTCACAATTATTCCTTCATCCAACAATGTTACCAGTGCTTCCTATGTGCCAGGCAACCAGAACACAGGATCAGTGGGGCCCCTGGTCTCAGGCAACAGGCGGGCTTGTCTAGAGGAGGGGAGGCAAGCAATAGCCCGAGTCATTGACAGTAATAAATGTGCAAATACAAACCACAGTAGGTGCTAAGAAGGATCGGATTGCTGTGTTAACAGAAACCATGACCTACGCAGGACGGCCAGGGAGTCACTGTTATTTGAACAGTAATCAGGCAGAGCCATGGGTTCTGGCTCACTCTTCCCCCTACGGCCAGATGACTGGGATGCCAGGTGCTGCCCCTCCGTGGCCCTCAGTTTCCCCCCTTCACATTGAGGAGCCTTGGCTTGGACTAAAGTTTTCTGGAGGTCCCTCCCAAGTTTGTTTACACAACTTCTTGGGGGGCGAGGACCTCAAAAGCCCCAAAGGGGCATCCCCTTGACCTGACGCTGGGCGCTGCTGGGCCCCAGCTGGAGACTCTCCAGAACCCGGGCGGCCCCGAGCCTCGTCTGACTCGCGGCCTTCGAGCGTTGCCTGCGACACGCGACACGCGGTGGTCGCGCAACAGGATCGCTCCTCCGCACGCCCTGGCCGCCATCCTCCAGGTAGCGCCACAGCGACATCTCGTGGCGGAGAGCATCTGCACCACTTGGCTCCTGGCCCGCCTGAGTCAGGGCGGGCCTCTGCGCTTCGGGGTGGGCAGCGCCGAGGCCGAGTGGATACACACTCCCTGCGGGTGTAACCGGATCGGACGGCGGGGCTGAATTCTACACAACGGGCCCACGCTCCCGCCCAGCCTGCGTGGACGGTCCCGGCTCCCCCCGGAGAGGGGTGGGACTGCCGAGCCCCTCCCCCCAAAGCCCCGCCCCTCGCACCAGCAGCCGCTGACTGCGCCTGCGCACTGTCTCACACATGCTCGCCTCCGCGAAGGTGCCACTCCCAAGAAATGTGTCCCATGCGCCACGCCGTCTGTTTCCAGGGCAACCCGGCGCCTCTTAGCAACCCCGCGCGCAGCCTGGGTCGTTTCCAGGCGCCCCCAGCCTGCCATGGCGGCCGCGGGTCCCAGCGTCTTCCTACTCATGGTCAACGGGCAGGTGGAGAGCGCCCAGGTGAGCGGCCGTGGACCTTGCCCGGCCTTCCCCTTGTCTCCCCCCGGGGCCTATCCCGCGATCTCCCGGGCTGCTGTGTGGCTCCGGAGAGGCGCGTCGTTCCCGTGAGCCTCTCTCTTCCTGGGTTAGACGCGGGAGGGGAACCAGCCCTTGAGAGGCTTGGCGGAGTCTTCAGGCCCGACTTGCGCGTGTGGAAACAGACCTCGAGAGGTTGAGCTGGTACCGAGGGCACGCTCGGCCGAGCCTGTGACCCCTGGTTCGGATCGTGTCCACTCTGTTGAGTCACGGGCAGGAGCCTAACGCGGGTGTAACGGGACGAGCCGAGACCCGACCGGCACGCTGGGCCTCGGTCCTCAAGTGCTCCGCACTCTGAGCCCTCGAATCCTTAAACTTGGATTAGAATGGAGGTGATTTAGGCGATCCGATACAACGATGGTGATGGTGGAAAGATCCAGGGAGAGTCTGTCCAGTCTGACAGAAGGAGACGCTACCCTCCATCCCCCTACACTTGAGAACCATTTGTCATATTTATATACGCACAGAGATATACGCACCATGTATTCCTTATGTGTCAGACTTGGCGCCCAGCACTGCTCATTCAGTCCTCACAACAGTCCTGGGAGGTGGGTATTACTAACACCACCATTTTACAGATGGGGGAACACTTGCCCAAAGGCAGTGGCAAGGCTGAGATTTGAACCCGGTCTGTCTTGTGCCAGAGCTTTGCTGCATTACCCTTCCAGGCTGCTGGAAGATGGCGTTGATTATATCCTTGTGAGGATTAAGTGAGATGGTTTGGGCAAAGCCCTGCCACAATCTCTTAGTAGGTGTCTCTTGCCTTCCTGTTTCATTGGGATTATGCCCCCATGCACCCACCCGGTGGCCTTGGTCCTAGTGCCCAAGACTGTCTGCTCCTCTTCTGTCCCCGTAGGGGCCTTTGGCTGGGCAGCATCACAACTACCTCTACTGTCAGCCCGCTTGCCACCCCCACTGTGCCTCCCACTCAGTTGTGGGCCCCTCCCCCTCTTCAGGCCTTGAACTCCAGCCCTGTGTTTGCTCTCTGTCCCGCTAGCATCCGGGTTCTTAGACCTTTCACTTCACCATTCCCTTAGACCTCCTCTCTATGCCTACCCTCGTGCCAAGCATCGGGGACACCAAAACGTCATCACTCTTGTTCTCAGCTCGCAGTCAGATGGGGTTGGCAGAAATAAACACAGGCAATCAGAGCTTTGACGGAAGGAAGGACCAGGGGCTGGCAGCACGAGGCGATGGCCCTTGAAACAGCCTGGAGGTTAGGGCAGGCTCTCTGGAAGGTAAGTTTTGAAGGACGAACAGGAGTCTGCCAGATGAAGGAATGGGAAGGGCATGTCAGACGGAAGGCAGAGGCTGGGCAAAGGCTCGAGGGCAGGAGCAGCCAGGGACTCTCCCTTGGACTCCCACATCTCGGGCCCCGGCCCCTCTGCCGAACTCCTCGTCCGGCTGTCTCTTAGACGCCACCCCAGGCACCCCGTGTTCAGAACTCCCGTCAGCCGCCCTTACCTGGCCAACACGGCCTTACCTGCCCTTACCTGGCCAACGTAGCTTCACCACGAGTCCCTGTAAACAGAACCTGTGTGTGTTTGTTTCCACAGTTTCCTGAGTATGATGATCTCTACTGCAAATACTGCTTTGTGTATGGCCAGGACTGGGCCCCCACGGCGGTAAGCTGGGCTCTTGGGCCTCCCTCACTCACAGCCCCCACGACTGTTGGGGTTTCTCAAGGTGTCCATCGTACATCCCTCCCTCTCCCAGTTCAGAACGCACTGAGAGGTAGACACTGAGTTCGGGGGGTTCTAAAACACGACTTTGTTCCTGGTAAAGCTGGAGTGGAGGACGCAGCCACGGGCGGGCTCCCGGATCCAGGCCGCGCTTGCCCGCGAGCCTCACCCCGGGAACTTGCACATGGCAGCGAGGAGGCATGTATGGGTGGCGTGGGCACGCAGGCCCCAGAGGGCCAGCCTGGAAGTAGCCACCCTGTGGAGCCTCTGGGCAAGTCCCTTCATCACTTGGCCTCTCCTAGCTCATGGGGAGGACTCTGGGGAGTCAGGAGGCAGAACGGAAGCTGTCCTTGCAAGACTTCCCTGGGAACAGTCTGTCTCCACCAGGAGATGGGCTGGGACGACCATGTCGGCTCGCTCCACACTTTACTGTGTGCAGCACTTGTCGAAGCCTCGCCGAGCCTGTCTCCTCCTCTGCACGGCGATGTGACAATACTTACTTTCTGTTAACCCCCTAAGTGAATAACTGTTGCCAGCCTTCTGGGTGACGGGGAGACAGTGGTGGACGAAGCCAGACAAGAGTCCCAGACTTTGTTGAGTGCCCATTCTTGTGGGCAAGACAGACACTAAGTACTAGTGTTCTAGTATGTTCTAGTGAAAAGTGCCAAGGAGAAAGTAGAGTCAGGCAGGGAGGTGTGCAGGATAGAGAGAAGCTGGAATCTAGATCAGATGGCCAGGGAAGGCCTTCCTGAGAAGGTAACTTTGGGTAAAGACCCGAAGGAAGTGTGGGAATAAGCCATGCGGAAGTCTGTGGAAAGAACTTTCCAGACCGAAGGAGCAGCGGCGCACGGGCCCTGAGGCAGGGGTGCGCCTGGTGTGCTTGAGGAGCAGGAGGGAGGCCAGTGAGGAGCATGAGCAGGAAGGGGAGTGACTGGGGATGAAGCAGGGGGTGTCGAAGACAGGGCAGGCCTTGGAGGACACGGTAAGTCAGAGTGAGGACCACAGCCTCATTCGGGGTGACCTGGGACCCCCTCAGAGAGTCTAGAACAGAGGGAAAGTGACCTGTCTTGTGTTTTTCAAAGCTCCCTCCAGCTTCTGTGTTCCCAGTAGACAGGGGAGCAAGGGCCAAAGCAGGGACGCCATGGACGGTTACCAGAAACAGAGGAGCAGACACGGCACATGGACAAGGCGCGGCACGGGGGGGGGTGATGACAGGTGGTCGAACAAGACGGGAGACAACGGGGTTTCCTCTCGGACAGATGTGGGGCATGACAGAAAGTAGTTAAAAGTAGCACCAAGCTTTCCAGCCTGGGCACTTAGCACAGCTGCCATTCGATTGAGAAGACTAGAGAGAGCAGATCTGGAAGAACTTTCCAGAACTCAGCCCGGCAAGTGTTGAGGTTCCCACTAGATATCCAGGTGGAGGTGCCGGGTGGGCATTGGGGGTGGGGCCGTGCTGATCTGCAGGTCGGAGGCAAGGACCAGGCTGGAGACCCGGGTCTGGGAATCAGCCACACCCAGACCACGTTGGCGGCCCCGAGATGGCTGAGGTCACGAGTGCCGGTTAGAGGAGCGTCCCAACACGGAGCCCCGGGACGCTCCCACACGAAAGGAGCAAGTGCTGAGAGCAACAGTGGGGACCACCCCTCCCGTGAGGAGGAAAGACCCAAAGACATATGTACGTACTGTGTCCCAGAAACCACTCAGGGGGAGTGTGTCAGGAAGCGATCGGCCGGGTCCAGCGCTGCCACTGGGTCAGGTGAACTGAGGACAGAGAAGTGTCCATAGATACAGCGATGCTGGGGTCACTGGTGCTACGCCACAAAAACACGTTGGTAGAGTGGGAGCCTGTAGCCAGACTGAAGTCGCTTCTCAAAAGAAAAGCAGAGAAGGAACTGGAGCCAGGGAGTAACGGACAGACCTTTCAAGGAGTTTTGCTTGGCAGGGAGCATCGAACGGGTTGACGGGTGGAGGAAGAAGGAGGGCAGGACTGTCTGGTGATGGGGAAAATCGCACACACTTGTGCCCCGACAGGAAGCGTCGGGGTGAAATCGGTGACATCCGAGGGGCCGGCCGGCTGGAGCCGGTTCCTCGGGCTGGCGAGGGGAGAACTTGCTTGTGCCCAGTTGGCTCCAGGCCGTCAAGCTCGAACGAAATAAAACCCGGAGAGACCTAGGAGCTGCTCCGTGACCTCGCAGACCCTGTTGTTGGGAAGTTAGCATGTGGGCAGAAGGGAAGGACACAGCCCTCCCGCCTGCCCACCCAGGTAGGGGCGTGCATGGCAGCTGGAGCTCAGGCTGTCACTGTCTCTGTGCTCACAGGGTCTGGAGGAGGGCATCTCACAGATCACATCCAAGAGCCGAGACGTGCGGCAGGCGCTGGTGTGGAACTTCCCCATCGACGTCACCTTTAAAAGCACCAACCCCTACGGCTGTGAGTCCCCGGGGCCCTGCGGGGACCGGGACGGGGAGGCGCCCCCAGGACAGTCCGGGCCTCATCCTGCCACCACTGTCCGCTCTCGGCTCTCCGCTGCCCACCTCCGGGACCCTCATGTCAGCCTTGCCGTGGGCTCTCTTGACACCTGGCCGCTTCCCCCCACCTCCCCACCCCAGTTCGTCTACATGCTGTGCAGTTGACATTTTGGGAGCCCAGAGCCGATCGGGTGAGGCCCCAGCCTGCGCCTTGGACAGCTCTGGGGCTGGGAAGGGCACAGCCTGGTGTCCATGGCTGTGGCGGTCTGGCCTGCGAGGCTCTCAGCTTGCGATCGTGTCTTGTGCTGCGGCCAGGCCGGAGCCGTCCACACCTCCTGTGCACATCCCTCGAGTCACCTCTCCGAGGCTTGGTTCGTACAGTCCCCTCTGCCTGGGACACCCCTTCCCGCTGCCATCTCTGGCCTCCTTCCCAGCGCTCTCGTTGCTTGCAGTGTTTACGATCTGCCTTGTCCAGTAGTTTGAATTCGCTCTCACTTAATAACCGCCTACTGTGTGCAAAGTCTGGGGTCGCTCCAAAGGGGCTGTGAATACTCCCCCCATGTGTGCTTTTCCTAGCTTCCTAATCCTATGTGGTGGACAGATTGCATTCCATTTCTTTTCCCACATTAGGAAACTGACACAGAAAGTGATGTCATTTGCCTTCAACTTTATAGCTAGGAGCTGAGTGTGGACTGGCTTTCAGGTCCATCTGATTTCATAGTCTGGGCCTTTCTGCCTCGTGTGGCCTGGGGCCTAGGCTTACTGGGTACAGAGGGTCCGGAGCAGGGCTGCCTGGACTGCATCTTGTCTTTGTCCATGAGTAAGATGCTTCAATAGATGCTTTTTTTTTTTTAATGTTAATTTATTTTTGAGAGAGAGAGAGAGAGAGAGAGCCCAAGTGGGGGAGGGCCAGAAAGAGGGAGAGACACAGAATTTGAAGCAGCTCCAGGCTCTGAGCCGTCAGCACAGAGCCCGATGTGGGGCTCGAACCCACGAACCATGAGATCACGACCTGAGCCAAAGTTGGACGCTTAACTGACGGATCCACCCAGGCGCCCCATTCCATAGGCTTCCTGGAACGGGGCTCTGGATTATGGAGCAGTCTCCTGCTGCTGAGGAAAGCTAGGAGAGGTGGATAAACTACTAAGAAGCAAAAACAAACACAACTCTTTGAAGGCCTCAGGGAGCTGGCCAAGTATTGGAGATTTACCAGGCCAAGAGCCGGGAGAAAACAAAATCTAGAGACATGATCCCACTCACATCACCCCTGCAAGTATTTGCTGACTCCACCAGAGGTGACTGGGCTGACTGAGACTTTTGACAGCTGCACTGGGTTCGGGGCACAAGAATAAAAAAATCCCTACAACTCGGATGGAAACCTTGAGGTGCTGCACCCTGGGAGGAAGGGAGAAGCAGCTCAGCTCCAGATCATTCCAGACCCTGAACATGGTGGCAAAAAGTCCCAAACGAAATATTCGTAAGCCAAATCTAGCAGGAAGGAAGGGGGATCCTGAACAAGTACGGTTTATTCCAGAAATACAAAGCTTGTACGTGGAACATCTGAAATCAACCAGTGTGATTCACTGCTTTAAAAAGAAGGAAAGTCACGATCATCCCTATAAATGAAGAAACCAAGATAAAATTCGACATCCATTCGTGGTAAACACTTAGCAAACTAGGAACAGAAGGAAACTTTCTTAACCTGATGAAGGTTCTCTATAAAACACTTAGAGCGGGGGCGCCTGGGTGGCGCAGTCGGTTAAGCGTCCGACTTCAGCCAGGTCACGATCTCGCGGTCCGTGAGTTCCAGCCCCGCGTCGGGCTCTGGGCTGATGGCTCAGAGCCTGGAGCCTGCTTCCGATTCTGTGTCTCCCTCTCTCTCTGCCCCTCCCCGGTTCATGCTCTGTCTCTCTCTGTCCCAAAAATAAATAAATGTTGAAAAAAAAATTTAAAAAAAAATTTAAAAAAAATTAAATAAAACACTTAGAGCAAATATCACCTCTCCTAAGTGAAATTTCCTTCCTGCTGGCACCATCACAAACAAAAGGCATAAGAATTAGGGAGAACAAAATTGTTCTTCACAGGTAACCTTGTGTATGTAGAGTGTGCAAAATGGGGGCGCCCGGGTGGCTCAGTCGGTTGAGCATCTGACTCTTGGTTTAGGCTCAGGTCATGATCTCACGGTTCATAAGCTTGAACCCTGCATCAGGGTCTACACTGACAGTGCAGAGCCTGCTTGGGATTCTCAATCTCTCTCTCTCTCTCTCTCTCTCTCTCTCTCTCTCTCTCTCTGTGTCCATCCCCTGCCCACTCTCTTTCTCTCTCAAATAAATAAACGTAAACAAATTGTTTTAAAGAATGTGCAAAATGACCTACAGAGAAGTTATAGAATTAATAAGCTTCCATGGATGCTGGATATGAGATGGGCACACAAAAGCCAGTGGCTTTCTGTATAAAAATAACTAAAATACGTGCATAAACAGTGAATCGAAAATGGCATTTTAAAAAGAAATTCCTTACAAGATCAAAATATAACTCGTTCCACCACACATCAAGCTTCAATTTAATTTTCAAGCAGAATAACTAAGTATAGTTCTGGCACATGGAGAGACAGACAGATCCAGAGAGAGCCCCAAGACAGACCTAAGCCTACGTAGACAGTTGATTTGTGACAAAGGGCACTGTGGAGCAGGAGGGGAAAGCAGGTGTCTTTGATAAAAGGTACCGGGACAGTCAGATATGCACAGGGAAAGAAACCGGGTCCCCGCATCCTACCACACATACACAAAAGTCAGCTCCAGGCGGATGCGTAAATGGAAATGTGAAAGCAAAGTAGTAAAGCTTCAGGAAGATAGCCTAGGACGCTAGAGCCATGATCAGGGAAGGGAAGACTTTTTCAAAGAGAGGGGGAGAGACAACGAGCAGAGGAGGGGCAGAGAGAGAGGGGGACAGGATCCAAAGTGGGCTCCAAGCTGATAGCACAGAGCCCCACGCGAGGCTCGAGCTCATGAACTGTGAGATTATGACCTGAGCTGAAGTCAGACGCTTAGCTGACTGAGCCACCCAGGCGCCCCTTCAAAGGACTTTTTAAAGGAAAGATCCAGGGACTTGGCCATATTCAAATTAAAGGCTTCTAGTCATCAGAAGACAGCAATTGGCCCGAAAAGACAGGCCGCAGAATTCACACACGTACACATTACACGTCAATGAGAAAAAGATCCATCCGGTAGAAAAACGGGCAAGAGGCTGAGCGGGTACTTCACAAAAGGGGACATCTAGTGACAAGACACGGAGCAGGGCCTCAGCTTTATTTTAGTAAGAAAGATTACAGTTAAGGAAAATGCAAATGAAAGCCACCGCGAGGGGCGCCTGGGTGGCTCCGTCTCAGCCTTTGACTTGGGCTCAGGTCATGATGTCACAGCTTGTGAGTTTGAGCCCCGCGTGGGGCTCTGTGCTGACACCTCGGAGCCTGGAGCCTATTTAGGTTTCTGTGTCTCCCTCTCTCTCTGCCCCTCCCCTGCTCATGTTCTTTCTCTCTAAAAAACATAAATAAATGTTAAAAATTAAAAGCCACCGTGAGGTGCCGCAGCCCACGCACCAGAATAGCTCAGGGGAGAATGCTGGAGGAAAGATCCTAAGCTTCGTGAGCATGTGGTGTGAAGGGAACTCCAGTCACGGGCGGGAGTGTGTGGGTGACACGACCCCTTTGGGAGACGGCCCCGCGTTCTCTTTTCAGCCCGAGTGTGTGTGTACCCTGCGGGACGCCCCGGACACGTACCCAGCAGAAACGTGTGTGCACAGGGGGCCGGAGCTTGGACGAGAGTAGCAGAGAGCGCATAGTCTCCCCATCGGGGGGTCCCCCAAGGAGAAGCCACCCACGTGTCCATCGGCACTAGAGTGAACCACGTCCTCATTCTCTGTCCGGAGCTGGAATGTTACCCAGCGTTGAAACGAGCAAAACCCCATACATGACAGTTTGATAGAATCTCACAAACATGATGTTGAATTATAAAGAAGCTGGGTCCCGGGACGCCTGGGCGGCTCAGTCAGTTGAGCGTCTGACTTTTGATTTTGGCTCATGTCATGATCCCAGGGTTGTGGGATCGCGTCCCGCATGGGGCTTGGTGCTGAGTGTGGGGCCTGCTTAAGAGTCTCTCTCTCTCCCTCTGGCCCTCTCCCCTGCTCATGCTGTCTCTCTCTAAAATTTAAAAAAAAAAAAAAAAAAAAAAAAAAAAGAGGGGCGTCTGGGTGGTTCAGTCAGTTGAGCATCTGACTTCCACTCAGGTCGTGATCTCATGGTTCATGGGCTCAAACCCCGCATTGGGTTCTGTGCTGACAACTCGGAGCCTGGAGCCTGCTTTGGATTCTATGTCTCCCTCTCTGTCCCTCCCCTGCTCGCACTCTATCTGTCTCTCTCTCTCTCTCAAAAATAAATAAAACATAAAATAAATGAATAAATAAAAATAATTAAAAAAAGGAAAAAGCTAAGTAACAATACACATACTATAGGATTCCGTTTGTATAAAATTTTTAAAAAATGGGTAAAACCAAAGCACCATGTTCGGCACGCGTTGTTTGGTACGAACCTCTCCCTAACACGGAGCTCTTCTGTGTCAGGCACTACTCTCCTTGTCTTAGGAGGAAGCCGAGAGGCCCGGAAGGCAGGTCATTGCCTGGGGGCCGCACCCACTCACCTCACCTGTCACCTGGGGCGGTGATTTCATCCCTACATTCAGAGGGTGAATATACGGACCCAGGGGACAGGACCTGTGCCCACTCCTGCCCTCTGCGCAGCCACAGCCCCTGGGGCTTTG